TCTGTTGAAGACCTGCCTCCATCAGGTTGGCCTCTGGCCGGATCTGTGGAGCGTTTTCTTGACTGCTAATTGGTGCGAGAGGGTGCAGACCACTGTGGGTAGAGCCATCCCCAGCTGGGCCTGGGCTGTATAAGAAAGGTAAACATGCCAGGCAGTGGTGGCACACACCTTAATCCCAGCACTCAGGGAGGCAGATGGATCTCTGTGAGTTCAAGGCCAGCCTGGTCAAAGAGCGAGTTTCGGAACTGGCTCCAAAGCTACACAGAGAAACTCTGTCTTGAAAAATAAAAAAAAAAAAAAAGTCAGGGAGCAGTGTTCCTCTGTCAGTACTTCAGGTCCTGTTTGAGCCCCTGCCCTGATTCTCAGTGATGGATTGTGACCTGGAATCATAAGCCAGAGGAACCTTTTCTTCCCCCAGTTGTTTTTGGTCACGGTGTTTCTCACAGCGATGAGCAAACTAGGCCACCTTCCCCTCACTCTCATACTCCCACTGTGCTCTGTCTGGCAGCTCCGAAGCTCGCTTGCTCCCAGAAAGCAGTAGAATAAAAATACACAAAGAACAAATTGTCCCGTCCCTGTCACCTCTGGGCCTCGGAGGCCTTTCCTGGATACTCTGCTCTGAGTTGGGGGTGCACAGGGGCATGTGGTCAAAGCAGAGTTTGCTATGGTAATTCGGACCTCACGGGCATGGGGTACACATCCCTCTGTAGCCAACAAGTGACAGAATATTCTGTTGTGTATGGTATGTGTGTTTATATGTATCTGCGTGTATGAATGCGCGTGGAGGTTATCTCAGGGTTTCTGTTGCCGTGAAGAGACACCATGGCCATGGCAGCTCATAAGGAAAGCATTTCATTGGGGCTGGCTTGCGGTTCAGAGGCTTAGTCCATTATCATCATGGTGAGAAGCATGGCGGCACACAGGCAGACGTGGTGCTGGAGACGTAGCTTAGAGTTCTGCAGTTGGACTGGCAGGTAGCAGGAAGAGGGTTCTGGAAACCTCAAAGCCCACCCCCAGTGACACACTTCCTTCAACAAGGCCACACCGACTCTAACAAGGCCATACCCCCTAATGATGCACCCCCATAGACCTAATGGGGACCATTTTCATTCTAACCGCCACAGGTGTCTCCCTCGCCACTTTCCACCTTCTTTTCTGAGGCAGGGTCTCTCACCTAACCTGGAGTTTATTGGCTTGGCAAGGCTGGCTGGCCAGGGAGTCCCAGGGATGCTCCTGTCTCAGCCTCCAGAGCGCTGTGATGAGCAGATGCGGTCCTCATGATTATACAGCGAGCCGTTTACAAACAAAGTCATCTCCTCAGTCTCCTAGAATGGTTCTTGGAGGCTGGGTTTGAACCCACAGCTCTTCTATGGGAATCAAAGCCATGTGCCGCCACCCCTAGCCAGCCATTGTTTTTTTATCAACAGCTGCTTGGTGTTCCTAATCTGGGCGAATTGGGATTTCTTCTTGTTTACTTTGCAGAGTCCTGAACACAGGGCTCAGTCAGTGTCCCATGGGTGACTCCCATTCAGATGGCCACGACAAACATTCCCAGAGGCCCTTAAAGACTTCTCCGTCCCCTCCCGGCTCTAACCGTACCAATCCTAAAGATGATTAATCACCAGACCTGTTTCGAACTTCCTATGAACTGAATCATGCCAAGAGAAGTCTTTCATGTCCGGTTTCTCCATATCCGCGTCCATGGCAGGAACCCATGTGTTTTCCGTGCTGTGTAATGTTCCACCGCAGTGCTATTAACCAGAGCCTATCTATAACAACAGATGAAACAAACACAGTTTCCAGGGCCTCCCCCAGGCAACACAATGTAGCAACGACCGTCTTTCTACAGACCTGAGAACCTATCTATGCTATAACAGATAAAACGAACACAGCTTCCAGGGCCTCCCCCAGCCAACACAATGTAGCAACAACTGTCTTTCTGTAAATCTCTGTGTGTGCCAGAACTTTTGCGTCATCTTACCCATCCCTGGGCCCCTGCCTCCCTCAAGCTACCCAGTTGTGGGACCCTTCACCTCCCTCAGTCTTGTTCTCGACCTGGTCCTTAGGGCAGATGATCCAGGCTGCATCATCCATGACGCTGGTGTAGAACGGCCTCATGCAATCCCTCTGGTTTTAGCTATCACACAGTCTACGGGTTTTTTTAAAGTTTCCTTACAGTCAGTTTTGGAGTCTGGAAGGTCTTCTCTAAAGAGCAGTTTTGGTCACAGCCCTTCCCTTCCCCATCTCTTTCTCTAAGATGTGCCGGGAGGTTTACAATCCCTCTCAGGGGCCACTGTGTCCTCCACCCGTGGTCCTGGTTCTCTCCCCAGCTCTTCCTTTTCCTTCTTCCACAGAGCTACCCTGCCTCAGCACGCATGCCTCTCTGCATGCTCCCCACTCTTCACACTCACCTGCGTACACACACACACACACACACACACACACACTTGTTTTTGGAGGTCTCCCCCATTGCCACCTAGTACACATCCTAAACAGACAGTCATTTTCAAGGCTGGCCTCTGCCCCTGAGAACAAAAATCTCAGGCAAGGTGAATGAGCCCAAGTCACCTACAGCAAATGAGGAAGATAAATCAGGGCCCTTCCCAGGATTTCCTGATTTCTTCTTCTCAGGGCCTGTGGTGGCTCAAGGCTCCCAGAAGACACTGCAGGCCCCAAAGAGCCTCTCGCTCTGCTAGGCAGGAGCACTTGCTACCAAACAAGGGCAAAATGCACTGGAGCCTGCACGGCCTCCAACTCTGGGCAGTAGGAAAAGCTGCTCCCGGTGCCACCAGTGGACGAGAGGCCACATGGCAGTCTGGGGGTGGGTAGTGAGGGAGTCCCTCTCCCTCTCTTCCTCAGGGCAGTGGGGATGTGATGACAGACAGGTCGGGCCTGCTGCCCAGCACCACACTGCCAACTGCCCACCAGGATGCTAACTGACTGCCCGTCTTTAGGATCCTGCCAACTGCCCGTCACCTCGCTAGCCAACTGCCAGTCAGACCAAGTCCTGGGAACTCCAGAGTGCACGTCAGGACCACAGCCAGCTGTCACTCCCAAGGCCCAGGGGGCAAGTCAGGGGTCCCACCACTGGTCACCCTGATGACAGCTACTGTTTGTGCTACCTAGCATCCTGTCACCCCTTCCTTGGCAAGGAACTCAACATCTCCAACTCTCAGTCTGTGGGCTCCAGGGCTGATTTGCTTCTTGGCTGCAAGGGACAAAATACAAGACTCAGGCTTTGTCTATCGCAGTATCCTCTGGCTGCATTCATTGGTTTATATGTGGGCAAGGGACTCAACCTGAGCCTGCTGTAGCCAGTAAGAGTTAAGTCTGGGTAACGAGGCTCTTGCTTTTCCTACTGTCCTTGAACCTGGGAAGGTGCGGCTGAGGCGGGAGCTGAGGCAGCCTTCTTGTTATAGCTGAGCAGAAGGCAGCCAGTCCAGAGATACAGAAATGAAGGAGACAGAGAGGCTGGTGTCGGTCGGGTCCTGGGTTCAGCCATTTCAGAAACCAGTTACCATTGGGCTTTTTGGACCTGTGAAGCAATAAACCCTGCCTTTTACCAAATAGGGGTGGCTGTGAATAGTTCCAGCAATCACAGGGGATTTTTCTGCTGTCGGGGGGAGAGGGGGGGATGATGGTGGTTGTGGTGCTACCTGCTGGCTAGGGCGCCAGCTATTAAATTTTTGTCTGAAAGGGTTAGGCAAGCCTCACGGGATTTGCTTACCCTGGTCGAGCTGCTGGTGTGTGGGCACAGGCCAGAGGCTGCCTTGCTTCAGCTCAGAGGCTGAGAGTTGGAATTGGGTCCCTCTCTGTGGCTTGGTGGCACCTGGGAGTACTGGGACTCAAGGTGGCAGCAGTGTCGTGTCTGCCAAGTTCTCCAGCCTGGCTTTGAGCTCCTCACATCCTTCTCAGAAGCTGAGATGTCACTGCTCTTTGTTGCTGAGGACAGGGAGAAAGAAACGGAACCACTGTCTTGAGTGAGTGAGGTGGGGACTAGGGGCTGGCAGACTCCCACCTGGGGACACTGTCTACAAGCTTGGCATTCATTCCTCAGGTGCCACCGGCTCATGTTCGCCACCCCATGCAGGGGTTGGCAGGTGCTGGGTACACTGCCAGAGGCTCTGGGAATTTATTGATTGGAAGGATCTGTATAAGGTATTTGGTTTAAGCAGTTTTATTTATTGATATGTGTGCACTCACCCACACACACAGAAGGCAAAGGAAGACTTGAGGTGCCCTGTTCTACTGCTTTCTGCCCCTGTGCTATCTTGCTGAGCACTGAGCTGGCTTGGTAGCCAGCAAGCTCACGAGAGCCTCCTGTGTCTCTCACCCTACCCCTGCCTGCCCACGGTTGCCAGGGTCACAGGCCCTCGGCCACTCCTGACTTTACACGGTGCTCAGTCCTTAGGTACTAGCTTTGTCACTGGCCGCTGAGGTGGGCAGGAGAGAGGGACAGGGATAAATAAGGTGGGCGAGGGGAGAGCAAGAGGGGGGGGGGAGAGAGAGAGAGAGAGAGAGAGAGAGAGAAAGTACACTTTACACCTTCCCATAGTGGACCAGCAGGGCTGAGGCTAGCACACTCTAATCATAGAAAGTCCCAGAAGTCCGTTGGAAGTCCTCCTGCTTACCCTCTTTTTTACAGTTGGGCCAAGAGTCGGTTCAGATTCTGGCAGTGAAGGCAATGACATGGTTGAGATACGGCAGGAGGTGTCCGGTTGGGCCAGATAAAGAAAACTGTTGGTGAGTAACGGCAAGTACCGATCTTTACACAAATGGCTTCTTCACAAAGACAAAAGGCCGGGGATCAAAAGCAGGAGTTTATAAGCAGACTCTGGGGTTCAAATGCCAACTCTAGCACCGCTTAGAGACTCCTTTCCCTGCTAAGTTGGTAACTCCAGGTCTCGTTACTGTTACTACAAAGTAAATAAGATACAAATAAGTAAATAAGATATAAAGTAATAATATACACATTTATTAATGGATCTTTACTAGTGCAGAGACTGATAGTTCGTTACTTGTATTTCTCTTGATTTTTCCCCTCAGTAACTGTGGATGGGAAGGGCCATGGGCTTCATCTCCAGATGAGGCTTAGGAAGGAAGGTGAAGCGCCAGGTCCCACTGAACCAAGACGTAGAGTCTCAGTCAGGTATGGACAGCTTCAAACTCCAGACTTGCCCTCGCCTTGCCTCCTTCCCAGGCTCTCAGCTGATCTGGACAGACAGAAAGCCAAGCTGGTTTCTCTCCCTTAGGCATCTCACACAGAGCAGACAGCAAGAAGGATGGGCTGGGCTAGACCCTCACCTGCCCACCCCCAGCACAAAGCCCAGGCACTTGGACTCCAGCGTGGCACTTGGGATGCGTAAACTCACATCACACTCTCTCCAGGCTGGAGCAGCTTGCCAGCCCAGAGCCAGGTTCTCCCGCCTGCCTCTCCTAGTCTGGAGTTTTGCCCAGACCCGGTCACCTTCCCAGGCAGGATCCAATTCCATCCCAGCAGCAGCCTGGGATTGAGCACAGCGTGTGTCTTCTTCAACTGCTGGTTTTCTTTGTCTTGGGAGCCTTGAAAAATGAAAGGAATGATAAGGATTTTGGGGGGGGGGGGAAGAAAATTCTGCAGATTCTGGTAACTCACCAGGAGAGAGGCATGGAGGTCTGAGTAGAGACCTTTTGGAGGTTTAGGGATCCAAGCCCTGGAGCAGGGAGAGGCTCACGCTCCTGGATCTGCTGGCCTCCTGGTGGACAGGCCACTAAAACTTCCTGGACCTCAGTTTCCACAGCTGTGTGCAGGAACTAACTGATGCTGACTCCTTGTCCTATTTTATTTTAGTTTTTTTTTATTTTGAGAAAGACCAGCTCTGGTTGTCCCAGGACTCACTGTCTATACAGATCAGGCTGGCCTCGAATTTACAGAGATCTGCCCGCTTCAGCCTCCTGAGAGCTGGGATTAAGGGTGTGGGCCACACACCCAGCAGCTGTGGGTTTTTGAAACTTCAAAGGCTACTCTCAGCGTCATTCCCCTGCCCCAGCAAGGACACCCCATAGTCCTTGTCTAACAGTTCCACTAACTGGGGACCAAGCATTCAAACAGGAGTCTAGGGCAGCCATTGTCTTTCAAGCCACCACACCCCATAGCCCTGGGGTGTTGCTAAGGAGAAACAAGCGACCTGAAGATCAAATGTTCCTAAAAGGGGGACTCAGCTCTTTAGAAGACATTCCACAATGTCCAGGGGTCTGTTTTTGATCGCCAGCTAGTGGGTGAAGACAGGGGTACTGTCAGGTGCCCCATAGAGCCCAGGACAGCACTGCCTATCCACAGTGACCCCGTCCACAATGGCAGGAACACTGGGCTGAAGTCTTGACCATTTAGCAGTACACTGTGGCTTTTCTTGCTTAGGAGCTACACCTGGACATAGAAGGGAAAGGAATCGGAGAATAGGGTATACTAGGAGGAAGGTCAGCTTCCATCCCAGCAGACAGTCAGGTTGTGCCAGACGCTCTACCCTCATGGAGTGTCTGGTCTTAAGGAAGCAAATGCAGCAAGCAGATGTTGTTCTCAGACGTCTATTAACTGTGATGGACAGATAAACTGTAGTCAAGTCAGAGAATGGAAGAATTGTTTGGCCGTCCAAAGGAAGTGGCCTTGTTTGACATTTTCCTTTCCCACTTGTATCTGTATGTACGTATTTGTATTGCTTTCTTTTTCCTGCCTTGTTAACGGGCTGAGAACTTTTAAGTCTTATACTGAGTAGGAGTGGAAAGAGGACGTCTTGTCTTGCTCCTAATTTTGGTGAATGCTCTCAGTTCTCCTCCACTTAATATAATGTTAACTAGAGGTTTGTTGTGTATAGAATTTATACCGAATGGTTCTCAGGTTGTCCCTAGTCTCTTTTGACTTTTATGGTGAAGGGATATCAAGTTTTATCAGAACTTTTCAGCATTTCTTGAGAATGTTGTATGAGTTTCATCTTGATTCTGTCTACATACTGGTTTTTCTTTTTGAGAAAGAGATTTTATTTTTTTAATTATGTAAATATGTGTATGTATGCTTGTGGGTTTGTGCATGTAAGCCCAGGCGCCCACGAAGACCAGCCCTGAAAAATACATTACACACCATTGGACCACACAGTTTAATGAGTTTTACTCATTTTTCAAAAAGATTTATCTATCTATTTATTTATTTATTATGCATATAGTAGCCTGTCAGCATGTATGACTACACGCCAGAAGAAGGCACCAGATCTCATTATAGGTGGTTGTGAGCCACTATGTTGTCGTTGGGGATTGAACTCAGGACCTTTAAGAGCAGCAGTGTGCTCTTAACCACTGAACCATCATCTCAACAGCTGACGAGTTTGACTCTTATTTCAATAAAGTTACGTGGTGTGCACTGGCTAGACAGCCTCCTGGGTCAGAACAAGAAACAAGTGCAGTGTGATGGATCTTCTTGGTTGTCAACTTGGTTACATCTGGAATTAACTAAAACCCAGGTGGTTGGAAACACCTGTAGGGATTCTTTTTCTTAATTAGATCATTTGAAGTGGAAAGACTCATTTTAATCCAGATCTTTTTGAGGAGGGAAGATCCCCTCTAATCTGGGCCACACCTTCTGTTGGCAGCCTGTATAAAGGACATGGAAGAAGGAATCTCACTAGCAAGTCCATTCCTTTATTGGCATTAGAGCCTACTTCCTCAGGATTCTGGTGAATACTGAAGACCACCTGAGACATTTGCTCTCACGGACTGAACATCTGGATTCTTGGATCTTTTGTTGGTTGACAGCCACTGTTGGACCAGCTTGACCACAGCCTGTAAGTCATTCTGATAAATCTCAAAAATCCATATTTTATATATCTATAATATATGGCATGTGTGATTTATATATCTATGGTATATGATATATATGATTTATATATACATATAGATATGTATGATATGAATATATATATTCATTCTCTCAGTTCTGTTCCTCTAGAGAATTCTGACTAATGCAGAGAGTTTTTGCTGCCAGTTACTTTGGTATGATTGCTCCGTGTGGGCCCTGCGGCTCAGTCTTTCTGTTCACCCTGGGCATTCCCCATTTGGAGAGCAGCATCCCGGAGAGGCGACAGATGCCATTCCCAACTGTGCCTTCAGAGGGGACATTGCTGTTTCTTCTCTTCCCAAGCCATGGGGGCTGTGAGTGTCAAAGGGTTCTCAGAGACAAGGATGGCAGGTTAGCGTCCCCCAGGCACTGAAGGACTGCAACCCTGCTTTCTAGGAAGAATCTTCCATCCTGCTGGGGACTCCACATCTGCCCTCCCTTGAGGCCTCGCCTCACTCCTGCACCATTGCCCGTGATGGGGTCTTCTGAGTATCACACCACAGCCAGCCATGCCTCGAGGGACGTCACCACCACAGGCCAGGCAAAGGCAGTGAGTGATCCAGGGATCTTGAGGGGCGGGACATCAGGTCATGTCTGGGGTGAGAAAAAGCCTGTCACTCGCTGCTTTAACTTCACTGTGCCTTTTTAAGCTCAGCCCACACTGGATAGCCAAACATCCCAGAGAAAGAAGGGCAGGAGAGATGGTTTTACAGAGGAGGTGATTGGACCCCAAGGGTATGAATTGCTTCCTGTAATAGTGAATGGCAACTGTTACCAAGACAGAACCTAGAATGACCTGGGAGGAAGGCCCCTCAGCTTACCTGTGGGAAACTGTTTCATGTGGAAAGAGACATCCTAACTGTGGGAAGGACCACCTCCTAGGTTGGAGATCCTGGTCTGTTTGGAGACCAAGGGCGAGCTGAGCCCTAGCATCCTTGCATTCACGGTTCCTACTGCAGATCTTGTATCCATGTCTCCGGCTACAGACATAAGATGCCCAGCTACTTTATGCTCGGGATTCCTCAACTTCCCCAGCATGATGGACTGCCCCTTAGACCATGAGCCCGAGCAAACCCTTTCTTCCTTAAGTGCTTCTGTCGGAGTGTTTTATTAGGGCAACGGGACAGGAGACTCAGACAGCCTCCCCTCCCGCCAGATCCCAGGGCCTTCCACTTCCTGTAGAGCCTTCTGGCTTCATGGTTGGCCCCAGAAGGCTGGGAAAGTTGGGGTGTGCAGCTGAGCCATGGCTCTGCTTGGAGGGCTGTGGTTGAAGACCTCAAGGACTGAGCTGGAGCTTTGAACAGATGAGGCAGAGCGGCCCTCAGGAATGTGAAGAGCTTAATCCCACTCTCTACAGCCCTCCATATAGGTACAGGTGGAGTCGGGAGTGTCTCTTGGGAAAACATTCCACGCCGATCCATTTATTGTGTGTGCACATACGTGTATGCGTGCATAGGATCCATGTGGAGGTCAGAGGCTACTCCAAGAGGATTGGTTCTCTCCTTCTACTCTGTGGCTCTCAGGGATCCAGTTAAGGTCATCAGGCTTGACAGTAAAGTGCCCTCCCTTATCACTGAGCCATCTCTCTGGCCCCTAATCAATGTATTTTTTTTATTGTGGTTTTGATACAGGGCCTCCTGCATCCCAGGCTGCCTTCAAACTCTTTATGTAGCTGAGGACAGCCTTGAACTTTTGATTCTCTTGCCCCCATCTCTCAAGTGCTAGAAATAAAAGCACATACCGAGCCTGGTTTTTGCGGTACTGGGTATCAAGCCCAGGGCTGGACAAGGCTCCAACTGAACCGCACTCCAAGACCCAGGGAATGTTTGGGAACTGAGTATGAAGTGTCTGGGAGTGGTTCCAGCCCTGCCTTCTGCGTCAGCAGATAGTTCTCGCCTTTTGGCTTTGCCTAAAGCGAGCGGTGTGTGTAGAGAAGTCCTCTGGGCTCTTAGTTCTGTCCCAAATCCTGAGAAACGGAAAGATGCTCTTCAGGGGAGAGGGCGTCCCACATGGGCTTCCTCCTTCCTTTCCCAGCCCCTCCCCACAGAGCTGTTCTTTGAGAACCTCAGCTTCTGTGCTTTTGTGGCCAGGGTTCTTTTTGTCTGCCTGTCTTCCTTCGGATAGGAACGTCGCAAAGGTGAACACTGCCTCCCTTGGGATGGGGCTCACAGGTAGGAGGGCAGGGGCCTAGCAGTGCCTCTTGGAGTCAGCTCTGGATCTTTAGACATCAGCTTGTTCCTGGGAGAGTTGGTTTCTCCAAGTATTCGGTCCCCGGGAGCTAGTGGTATCCACAGGACTGAATTCCTGACCACTGGCCCAGCCAGACAGCCTGCTCCCTGGAACAGGGCCAGTCAGGGCTGAGGCCTGATGCCTCCCTGGGCTTGGCACCCACCCCTGATCTGCTTCTCTTTGGGGCTGGGGAGGAACCTACAGCCTGGCAACTGGGTCATTTCCCAGGACCCAAGGCTTCTTTGCAAGGTTGGCACAGCCTGTTGTGTCCCTCGGGGGGTTGGCACTTGTCATTCTCCTTCACTTGGACAAGCAAAGGGACAGAATTAGCTCTCCACTCTCACTCTTGAAGCTCTCCAGGCAGTCAAACCATTCCAGTGAGGGACCAGAGAGGGTTCCTGGGAATACGCCCAAGGCCTTTTCCCCGGTTCCTCTGGGAAACAATCCAAAAAAAAAAAAAAAAGACCCAAAACGGGGTGTTGGTGTGTGTTGTGGGGGGCACAGACTTCATCCTACTACCAAAAGAAACCATTTGCATTCTGGGAAACTCAGAGATCCCCGTGTAACCAAGGTAATGACCATTCTTGGTGGGGTCTCCTCGGGATCCTTACTGAATTTCTAATTTAAAGGCCAATGGAAATCCCAATGATCAAAGCATCTCTGAAAGGTTGGCCTGAAGGCAGGCCACGAGCACAGAAACACACCAGCTGCTCAGAAATGGTCAGGAAACTTGGGGGCTCAGCAAGCCGGACCCCACCTTGCCCCATCCACTTCTCCCTGTCCACTAAGATGGATCTCCCTCAGCCTCTCTCCTGGAAGAGCCAGCCACAGGCACCTGCCTTGGGATATCATCCAGACACCACAGGGGCTGAGGAGGGTAGTGACATTCCATACTTTGGAGACACCTATCCTCAGGGACCAAAAGGAAGCTGATGGATGGTCCTGACTTGACTCCTTGTTGCTTGTTACTGTCTGGTGCCATGGGAACCCAGGAGCCAGAGCTGTGTTCAAATTCTGGACCTGGCCAAGCAACATCCTGATCTGAACTCAACTTCTCATCTGTGGAACAAACTTCCAAATTCTCTCTTTGGAAGGGTGCTTGGGAAGAGAACCAGGCATCCGCCTCTGTAGCGATTGCTCAGCCCCAGCAAGGGGCCCTAGGCTGCTACATCCTTGAGTTGAAGTCTTCTTCCATGGTTTGGCAGACCAAGTGATCATCCTATTAGCTTCCCAGGATCTTAGGCAGGCATGGTCACATGACCGGAGCTGGCCAATGAAATGGGACATGACATACACTACTTCCAGGCAGAACTTGAAGAGGACATGATGGTGGGCCAATGTACATCTATTCCCAGGGACAACTCATCTCCGGTAGTGGCTGCCCAGAGTGAAGACGGTTTCATGAATAAATTGAGTTGCAGGGCAGATACCTTCCCTGTTGGAAACGGTGGTGATCTGGTGGTCATCGCTGGCTGACACCCACCACCAAGTGGTTGGATTGTTCAAAGTGGTTGCTTTGAGCTATGTTTTGTTTTGTTTCTGTATTTTGTCTTCAGTAGCCGCAGGGAGAGCTGGTAACCGACACAGCAAACGCCATGTTTTAGGCTGGCAGTGCCCTGCAGCGTTCCATGCACACCAGACACCTGGTGTTTCTCCTGCACATCAGCCTGTTGCCATGCGGGTCATCCCATCCTTGTGAGTGTGAGGGTCCAGCCCGGGTCCTTAGGTCTATGTGGCCTTTGGGAAGCTTTCAAGGACGCTCCCCACTAATCAGAGGCCTGGGACCTTCTCCTTTTGTGTGGGGACCACCCCTGCCTGCTCCCTGCCACTCACCTGTAAAAGCTGTATAGATGGATGCTATTCCTAATCTTCCTGTCTGGGGACCACCCCTGCCAAAATGATGAGGTGCATCTTCTGCTGGTATCATCTCGGCTTCTTCATGCGGGGTAGACAGCAGGTGCTCAGCGAAGGGTGACTTTACTTTTAAGTTGATGGCCAGCGGGGTCAAGGAAGGACAGACAGTACTATCTGTGGTGAGTTCTTCTGTGGATTAGTTCTCAGGGATCCTACCACGGAAGCCATGTGTCTGGAAGGGCTTCCCCACCCTCTCTCCTTGGACTGGGCTGCAGACCCTCTCCTGCTCTCTGTAGACCCTGAGGTGAGCCCTTCCTTCTCAAAGGATGGGGCTTTATGGTTGGGACAGGTTCCTTCCCAGCTGCCTCCCGCCCAAGGACGTGAACGAAGGGAAGCTGCGCAAGCCACCTCTTTATTTGCGTTACTGCCATTTAACCAGTTTGCATGAGCTGAGGGTGACAGGGTTCGGAGGGGAAGGCAGAGTGTCTGGGGACAGACTCTCCTGGAAATCGTCGATGCACGCTGCTCAGGCGGATTAGACTGGAGAAGCAATTTAACAATAAACCTACAGAGTGAGGAAGGTACAAAACTGTCAGGTGGCTGCTGAACGGCGTCTTGCCTCCCCATGGGGGTCAGAGTTACACACATCAGTCCTGCACGAAGGTCCTGGAGTTGACCCGGGAGCCGCAGAATCTTCTTTGCTGGGGACAGGAACAGCCCTGCTCACCCAGCAGACGCGCCGACGCACAGGCACCCGGGTGTGTGCCCGGGTACTGTGGCTCCCCTCAGGCTCCATGGCTCCTCAGGTGTGTCTGAGGAGCCTCTATGTCCTCCCCTTAAAGGTGTTCATACAGGTATACGTCCCTGAGAACCTGTGGATCTCCTCCAGTGCAGCCTGTGGGAGTATGCTGAGGGGAGAAGGGAAGCCGGTTAGAGGGTGGGCAGCAGTGACAGGGGTCAACGGTGGCAATGTCATATCGGGTAGTAGACAATGGTTTTAGGGCCTCTGCCACCCACACACCAGCTCCCCTTCCAAAGACAGCCCCTGAACTCTGAGAATCAGCACTCTGAGCAGGTGAAGGGCCAAGCAGAGGAACAACAGAGGGAGCGTGTTCTCAGCGACGGGTGCACTTTCCATGTGTTCTGGACTTTCCAAGATGCAAGCTGAAACTTGACTGTCTCTGTGGTGAGACAGAGGTGGCTACGTCATGAGGGGATCCACCCAGTCTTGGATTAATGGACAGTCTGAGTGACTCTATTATAGAAACAAGCTCTCAGGGCGTACTTGCTCTGTCCTGTATGGACCAACTCTCCATCACGTCACAGGCAGCAGGAAGGCCCCTGCCAGATGCCATGCCATGCTCTTGGGTGTCTCAGTCTCCAGAACCCCAAGATGTATGCACTTCTGTGGGTTTTGTTTTTCAGTCTTGTTCTACTTTGAATTGCGCATTTTGTGCTTATTTGTGCACTTGAATGCAGTTGCTCACTGAGACCAGAAGAGGGCATTAGATCCCCTGAAACTGGAGTTAACAGGAGGTTGTAAGCTGCCTGAAGTGGGTGCTGGGAACTGAACTCTGGTTTTCAGCAAGAACAAGGGTTTTTAACTGCGGGTCACCTCACCAGCCCTCCTTTTAAAAAGAATCAATCTGTGTGTGTGTGTGTGTGTGTGTGTGTGTGTGTGTATACAGTCACCTGCCTGCAGTGCAGTAAACATATGAAGGGCAGACATCAGTGTTAGGGAACCCAGTTCAGATTCTCAAGCTTACACAGCCAGCACTTCACCGTCTGAAGGCATCCCCCCCCCCCCCCAGCTTGGTGCCTACTCCTCTAGAGGATCCCTCTGGCAGCAAGAGAGCATCCTGGACTGAAGGTCAGGGTATGCTGGGACAGTGTGACCGCTCCAAGTGCCCGCTCCCCTGCTCTCCACGCCTCACCCCTGCTTGCACAGAGGCCAGCAGAGTGGCAGACGAAGGGTCGGTTGCCACTGTTCCCTTAGTCACACAGCCAAGGGTGTGGCCTCCCTGAGTGGATGTTTGATGATAACAACAGGGTGAGCCTGGAACCAGGGGCTGAACTTCCTGACAAGCAAAAGCCACCATCGTGGCGGGAGGGACAAAGCTCTCCCTGTGCAGAGAGCACACTGAGCCACAGGCACTAACTAGCCCCTTCAGCATGGGACCCAACGTAAGGTCTTGCTGCACCAAGTCTGGACAGTGTGAGGCAAACTCCGTGCTGGGAAAATTCTAGAGGAGACGACATCTCCATTAGGAAGCCCACCTCCCAAAGATGGTCTTTCCTGGTAAACCCCACCTCACTAGAGCTGCGACACTTGTCCAAACACTGAGCCTTCGACATAAAAATCCTGTTGTCTTTAGACTCAGCTACCTGGGAGCTGGGGCTATGCCCGCAGAGAAGTGGTTCTTAAAAATGTGGTCCAGGAACTCTTGGGGGTGCCTGAGATCTCTCTAGGATACTTAGAGTAATACCACAGTATGATCTGTTTTTCTCTTCTTCCTTCTTTCCATTTCCTTCCTTCCTTCTCTTTCCTTTCCCTTCCTTTCTCCCTCTTCCCTCCCTCCCTTCTTCCTCTCTTTCTCGGCAGGGTCTTTAAAGAATATCACCCAGGCTAGCCTCAAACTGACTGTGTAGCTGAGGGTAACCTCACACTTCTGATCCTCCTGCCTCTGCTAGGCAGGCTCTCTACCTACAGAGCCGCACCCCCAGCCCATCGCTGGCCGTTTTTCCTTCTATTTCCTCTGCACGTGCAGTGGGGTTTCTCAGGGGTTTTGCTACAGGGGACTATCCCAACTGACAGAAATCCGGAGGTAAGAACCTAGTTGTTTCAGATTAAACCAGATAATGGCGAGATCTACAAGAACACAGCCCGCATCTCTCCCGATGACTTGTCTGTGGTGTTTTAGAAAGCATAATTGCGGTCACAAAAAAATATATTTGGGAGTTGAGGCTAGATGGGGATACCCAGTGAGATCCTGTCTAAAGAGATTAAAATGGCAAGAAAACAAACAAAGCAGCTATGATAACTTAATAGTTCTGTTCCTGCTCTTTACAACTGAAAAATATTGTAAACAGAAGCCACTGTGTAAAACTTGCCCCTCAGTTTTAATTTCTAACGCAGTAAGTAGTGGTAGACAAAACTCACATAGACAAGAGCTGTTTGAATCCCGCAATAATTTAAACCAGGCACAGTAGTGCACACTTATAATCCCAACCCTGGAGAGACAGGAGAATTGCAAGTTCAAGGCCAGCCTAGGCTTTATAGTGTGTTCCAGGTAAGTCTGAGCTACAGTGGGTTCTCCCTCAAAAACAAATTTAAAAAGTGAAAAAATAAAAACAAACCTCATAGAGAGCCTTAGACCAACAAGTCTGCCTTACTGCTCAGCTCAGTCAGAGGTGCTACTCCTTGCACCCTGCCCTCGGCAGACAGGACTTTAATTCACTTTCTCCGGCCTGTTGCCTTTTCTCCACTAGGGCCCACTGGCATAAAGGAAAAAGCTGGGCCTCGACCTGTTGAAGAACTCTCTCTCCCCACCCCATACCTTTTCAAGATAATGAGGATATTCATGGTCCACGGGAGCAAGAGAAGGGCCTGGTTTTGCTGCACAGCTTCGACCGTCCTCCGGGCTACTGTCTCTGGCTTCAGCGGCGGGAAGAGGTTGGGAAACCTGAAGGCGGGAAAAACACTGGTTTCTCCAGGAGAAGTTGGCCTTTCGGCTGGGCACCTTGGTGAATGGCTGGTGTGTCTGAGGGCATCACTTGGGCTCTTCTGTGTGAGGGACTGGAGGCTGTGGGATTCTCTCCCAGTCCTGGTCCCTCCTGCCCCACCATGTGAGTGGAGTTTGCCCACTAGCAGGGGGCATCTCTAACAGAGCCAGGGAATCAGAGTCTACAGTTTACAGCATGGGCCAGCCCTCAGTCTTTTTTACTGGGCCATCTTTCCTCATCAGCCCCCAGAGATCACTCAGCCTCCCATATTGCTGGGGGGCCTCTGATCTTACCTCCTTAACCACAACCACATCTAGAATGGCCTTGCTCATCAGGTTGTTCCCTGTCAAGGGCCTGTCTCCTCCATCAGGTTATATGCTTCCTGAGGGGGGAGGCCCTGTGAATCTCACTGCCTGTTGCATCATCCTCGGTATCTAGCAGGACCTGGTACACAGTAGGTGCCTAATAAATACTTGTCATTTTGCCCCACTCCCCTGTTGGGCCTTTCTGCCTGGGAGGTCCTCAGCCTGCTGGTTCACTAGCCTGTCAGTCAAATACAGAATGATTTTCCATGGGACTTCCAGATGAACAGGCGTCAAACAACAGGGGTTTCCCATGCCTGTCCAGAAGCATGTGACCCCAGAGCTATGCACCCATTTTGTTCCCCAAGTGTCGGGCCCAATATTCTCTCCAACTTATGGATAAAGAAACAGCGGAGCAGGAGGCAAACGGGTGAGCCCCTAGCACCGCTCCAGCAGCTGTTTCTGGCTCTTCTTACCTCCTCAGTCTGAAGGTACAGGGCATGGGCTGCTGGCCCTGACCTCTGTCCCTCAGGGGGCTATGATTCACTCTGGTGCCAGTAAGATTAAGGGTGGTGAGCCATCATCATCACACCAAGCCTAAGCAAGGGGCAGCCTTGGGGCTCACAGACTGCTGTGCCTTTCCTGTACTGCCTCAGTCACGTGACAAGTGCAGCTTGGGTCTGTTCACGCATGAGTGTCATGTGTGTGCAGGTAGGTAACACGTATGTGTGTGGAGGGCAGAGGTCAGGAGTCTTTTCTTTAGGAGTCATGCACTTTGGCGTCTCTCATTGACCGGGACTGACTGGCCAATGAGCCCCTGGGATTTGCCGGCCTGTGCATTGCTGGGAAGACAAGTGCCTGCTACCTTGGCCTGGATTTTTTATAAACTTGGGTTCTAAAAATCAAATTTTGCTGACTAGGTTTTCTTCCCAGACCAAGATAGTGAGGACCCTCAGATAGGAAACTTGTGGCTTAGAAGGGCTGGCCTTGGGTTTTTCAGAGAGAAGCGTGCTGAGGTCAAGGGATTCTGGCGCCCTTTCTGTGAAGGTTGCTGGCGGGGTTGGCTCAGGAGAGGTGGCTGGTCTCACCAGCGCACTGACCTGACTCGCATGCCCTGGAACATCTCGGTGCTGGTGTGAAAGGGCAGCACGGTGGTGGCGCTGACACCGGGACAGTCCAGCAGCCCCAGGGTCAGGCTCTCCATGAAGGCGAAGGCCGATGCCTTCGATGTGCAGTAGTCGATGGCGCCGGGGATGGCCGACAGTGCAAGCACGGAGTTGAGGCACACGATATGGCCGTTCTGCAGCTCCAGCATACGTGGCAAGAAGGCCTTGGTGGTCTGAGGGTGAGGAACGGGGGGGGGGGGTCAGTGTGGAGCAGCGCAGCTTCTGCCAAACCCTGCACCTCTGCACTGGGGCAAACAGCCCACTCTAGATGCATAGCTACCCTAGCGACTTAGCTCTCCAGTACGGAGGAGCGGCTGAGGCAGCCAGTCAGAAGTTCCCGCGTCTCCCTGCCAGTCAGTCATTCCATGCATCTAGCCACTTTGCCATCGCACGTCCCTGCCGGCATGAGCCCTGGTGCCACTGAACTTCTCTCTCCCCTCCTCCAGCTCAGGTTTCCTGCCATACCTACGGCTGGCACTGGGCCAGGAAAACCCTTACCCAGAACTGGCCCAGGGTGTTGACGTGCTGGGACTTGAGGAGGGCATCGTCATCACTGTCCATCAAGCTCTTCCCGTGGACCACAGCGGCATTGTTCACCAGGATGGTGATGTCACCCACCTGCGGGCAAGAGGGGGCTGTGGAGCCGTGAGGGCAGCCAGTCCCTGTGGGCTGTACCTGCAGGGGCACAGACCGGGCTCCGCAACCACCAGCCACATGGCTTTTCTGAGCATCAGTCTTGTTTATAAATGGCGCTGGGGCCATACCAGCTGTGTCTGAGGATTAGAAATAATTTATGGTACATACTATACCCGGAATGCAGCGTATTTATAATAAATGAGGTTATGGTCACATAAAAATGGTTAATGTTACCATGAGTGGGATAAGTAACAGAATGAATTTTTTTTTCCCTCTTTTGGCACTCACTGATCTACCCAGCCCAAATGTCTTGGATTAGGGAAAGGATTTTCCCAGAAGGCAATGGGACATTTGTCTTAGAGAGAAACTCATAAGGTCTAAATGTCCAAAGGACCACAGAGATATACTCATATTGTATTATCAACCCCAGTCCCTGCCCAAGTAACTTGGACGAGCTTCATGGAGAGCCCCCAAAAGTCCCCTGCACAAAGCCAGTCTGCCACAGCCACACTCCCTCTCAGGACGCATGAATTCAGTATGCTGGGGCCAGACATGCCCAGGCTACTGACCTTCTCTCTGACAGCTTTGGCCATCTGGTACACCTCTTCCCGGTTGCCCACATCACAGATGAAGTAGTGGCACTCGGTGCCCATCTGCCGAATCTCCTCTGTGGTCTCTTTCAGGCATTTCTCAGTCCGGCCCCAGAGAATAATCTGGAAGAAAAGAATTCTGGCATGGAATAGGTGGCTCTGAAACAGACTGTATCGATATAATGACTGATATCAGGAATTCAGGATTTCAGTAGTCTTTAAAATGCTGGCTTCCTGGATTCCATCCCAAAAGTACCCAAAGAAAATTATTAACTATTAATTATGATTGTGTGTGTGTGTGTAGTGTACCACAGTGCATGTCTGGGCACGCGTGGAGGTTAGAGGACAACTTTTAAGAGTTGATTTTCTCCTTCTGCTGTGGGTTTGCGGATGAAACTTAGGTTGTCAGGTTTGTATTTATCTGATAGCTGTCTTAGGGTTTCTATTGCTGTAATGAAACATTGTGACCAAAAGCAACTTAAAGGGTTTATTCAGGTAACTAACAGTCAGTCATTGAGGGAAGTCAGGACAGGAACTCACGCAGGGCAGGAACCCGGAGGTAGGAGCAGAGACCATGGAGGAGTGCTGCTTACTGACCTGCTCTCGTGTGTGCTCAGCCTTCTTTCTTATAGAACCCAGAACCAGCAGCCCAGGGGTGGCATAACCCACAACGGACTGGGCCCACCCCTCTCAATCACTAATTAAGAAAATGTCCTATAGGTTTGCCTACAGACAGATCTTATAAAGGCGTTTTCTCAACTGCAGTTCCTTCCCTCAAATGACGCTAGCCTGCGTCACGTTGACATAAAATTAGCTAGCACAGTGGCCAACAAGGAGTTTTTTCTTTTAATTTTATTTTATGTGTGTGTGTCTGTCTGCACACGTGGGTGCCTGTGTGTGGGTATATGCACACGAACGCAGGATACAACAGAGACCAGAAGAAGGCATCAGATCCCCTGGAGCTAGTGTTACAGATTGCCCAGTATGAGTACTAGGAACAGAACTCAGGTCCCCTGGAAGAGCAGCAAGTGCTCTTAACCATTGGGCCATCTTGGGGCCCCAACAAGATTTTAAAAGGGACACCACCTACGCTTAAGTGAGCCAGCTGTTTCTGAGCACACGTATGGCCTATCAGCTAGTATGTTAAGTTTGTACCTTTCTGATCCATTCCTCCCAGCAGGACACTTCCTGCCAACCCAGGTCTGGCCTTTTCCTTGATTCTTAGAAGGTACAGAAAAGCTTTCTATACACTATTCTAGAATGTTTTCTGTTAGGGATCAGCTGGTCTCGCCAATTATGTTTAGAGCTGGGATTATTCCCACCAGCCACTAGGAAGGATGGGGCCACATTCTCCTTTTACAGGGCCCTGGATGGCTTCCAGCTCCCTGCGCTCACACTGGGAAGGAAGGATGCAAGGAAGGACAGGAGAGAAACAGAAAGACTCCTGCTAAGAAGCAAGGGCTTCCTTACCCAGCAGGGAATGAGTATAGGAGTGACCCAGTGACCTTGACAGGACCTGTAAGTGGGTGCTTAGAGGGGTTGGGCAGGTGTATGGCTGGTTCATAGGATGCTGGGAATTGACATTTGGCTAGTCCTCATCCTTGACCTGAAGGAGAATAATATCTCCCCACACAAAGGAGCCCAGGTTTGGGTGTCTGAGGAGTTAGCTGCCCTGAGACGTAGCTTTATGGTAGAGAGGCAGAACTAGGCAACCACGGCATCCAGGAAAATCAGCATAATAGAAGCTAGGCTCCAGCAAGGGTCTGTGTTTTTTTCTTTTTAAAAGATATTTTTTTTTTTTTTTTTTTTTTTAGAGACAGGGTTTCTCTGTAGCTTTGGTGCCTGTCCTGGAACTAGCTTTGTAGACCAGGCTGGTCTAGAACTCACAGAGATCCGCCTGCCTCTGCCTCCCGAGTGCTGGGATTAAAGGCGTGCGCCACCATCGCCCGGCTAAAAGATTTTTTTAAAAAGTTTATTTTGTGTATGCATGTGTGCCTGATGGATGTATGTGCACGGCATGTGAGCCAGTGCCTGTGCAGGCCAGAAGAACATGTAATCCCATGGAACTTGTTACAGGTGATGGTGAGGCTCCACATGGGTGCTAGGAACTGAACCTGGGTCCTCTGCAAGAGCAGCACTCTTAACTGCTGAGTCATCTCTTTAGCCATAGCTCTGTTGCTTTTCTCTTTAAAATCATCAATGAGGGGCTTGATGTCACTAGGAGCCCCCGGGGCTTTCCTAGCACAAATAGGTGTGCAGAGGGTCCCATCTAAAGGAGCCTAGGTGACCCATGCTCTTGCTGGTTCTTTGATGTCTGGAGATGGTCAGGGTTCTAAAGCAATGCTTTGCTCAGAATGTCTGCAACCAGGAACCAGGGAGAGCAGCCCTGTCAACTGGGCTGGAAGATGGCCCCGAAGTGTGGGGGGCAGGTAACAGTGGGCAGGCAGGCGGGATGAAGGGATGAAGGCCTGTATGTACTGTCTCCTGTGAGCAGGCAAAGACTACAGTCAGGACTCTGGTCCTCTTGAGGTCAACCCTGTATACTGGCAGAGTGGTTCTACCCCTCTCCCTGGTACAATGGCTAAGTGTCTCTGTGGAATTGGGCATCTCCAGGGCCCAATTCTGTCTATTTATTTTAAGATCTCAGTGCCTACCAAATCACGTGTTGTCTGTTGGATGAATGAATACATGTTAAGGGCCAAAGTTGGGAGAGTCTGGATGGGTATTAAACTACCTCTCAAGACTGAAAGATGACCCATTCTCTGTGGCTGAGCTCATTGCAGCCCCAGAATCTTCCATATATGAGTCTGTGTGGACCAGTGGGGCCTGGGGTTTCCTAGAGCACTCAACCCCTGAAGGCTGAGCTGAGGGCAGGCCTGTTGGGGCTGGAGCATGCAGACAAGGAGCTAGCCATGGTGCTGGGCAAAGGTGTGCCGCCGTGGGCAGGTGCATCTCCCTGGGCAAATTTCTGTGTCCCGTGTTTGTGTGTCTGTGCCTGTGAGTGCTAGTGCCTCCGAGCCCATCTGAGTGTGCACTTGCGTGTCTGTAAGTGTAAGTATGCATTTGTGTGTCTGGAATGTTTGTGTATCTACAAGTTCATATCTGTGGATGTCTGTGTTTGTGAGCATGCTCTATGTGCATGGACCTGTGAACATGCGTCTATGACTATGAGCCTGCGTCTATGAAGAGGTGTCTGTGAGCCTTGCGTCTGAATATAGGTATTTTTCTGCGAATGTATGCAATCCACGTGCATGTGTCACCAGGTCCTCTCGTGGATGCATATAGGGCACCCTGAGACCACCTGTCCTTCTGAGTCAGCCTGCATCTCTGCGGTGATGGTGGCTCCAATGCGGTCTGTGTGGACCAGAGAGAGGGCCTGAAGGCACAGGACTGTCTGGTGAAGCTGCTCTAGTGACAGGCTCCTTCTGGAGCCCTGCCTGGCTCTCGGGGAATCTGTGTCCCTGAAGGGCGTGATGCATGCAGAAAGTCTGCTCAAGGCTCTGCCACAGTCCCCCGGGGCCAGCCTGGGCTACACAGTAGCACCCTGTCTCAAAGCAAGACAGGTAACAATAAGAACAGGAGCGGAACAAAAGGCATGGCACAAACTTCCCCACCGTAACTCAGCGTTGGTAACCCCTGCCTAGCCTCAGCCCTATCAACACCTCTCCTGGGCCTCCACTCATGATAAAAGTGCTATTTGTCGTCTCTCTCCACCATTTTTCTTTAAAACATCAAGGCTCTTTGCAAACCCCTATTCATCCCACAGAGTGGCCCCTTCAATTCCAAAGCTTCTTTGGCTGTTCCTTCTACCCTTCCTACAACACTGGCCAATCGCTAGTATTAACAGAGCCCTTGCCACGGGCCAGGCCCTGTGCCAGGTAGACAGATATGCCCTCTTTCAGCCTCACACCTTGTGGGTGGGTATGTTACTCCCCCCACTATGTGAGTCTCAAACGGAATAAAGTGACTAGCTTAGGGTCGTGCCTCTCCTGTCCTCACAGTTGTGACTCAGAACCCATGCTCCTCCCCGCTAAGGCTAGCCCTTGTTTTGGGCTTCCACTGGCAGACAGAGGAACGTTCCGACCATTTGGAAGCCCTTTGCCTTGGCTCAGTGTCCCTCAGGGACTCTTCATCATCTTGTGAGTCCGGCACCGGCCAGGCTCAGCTGACCCAGTCACATGGCACCGGTCCATCTAGAAAGGTCTGCTGATCCTAGGACACTGGTATCTCTACTATTCAGCCTTGCCTTTCCTCTCTGGGAGGACAGCCTAGAGACTGGCTATGTGTGTGGTGGGAGTGTGGGGGGTGGGGCATCCCACCAGTGACCGGAGCAGGTAGTCTCAGGTCCAAGTCCTTGGGCAGGGAGTTGGGCCCTGCGGCTTAAGGTCAGACTGGCAATGTTGACCTTGCAGACAGAAGGAAAATGCCCAGGGAGACTCCAAGCATGGTGGGCAGAGTGGCAGACTGGGTGAGGGAGGTTTGGAGTAGGGTGTGGCTTGCCGCCACTCCCAGCATAGCAGACAGGGCATAGGAAGATGCTTATTAAGAACCATGCTAATGACTGGGTAAGAGGGAGCATGGGAGTTTCAGTCTATTGTACAGTTAGAGTTAGGGTGGTACTGAACAGAAGGAGATGGGTGCATCCCTGGGGGAGGGACTGTGGTGTCTGAGACATGGACACAGTACTTTGTTTATTTTTTTGTGGTACCAAGAACTGAACTCTAGACTTTGTACATGCTAGGTAAGCAGCATCTTCTACCGGTGAGCTATGATCCTCCATGACCTTTCTCCCTTTAAAAACATTTTATTCTGAGACAGGGTCAAACGTTGGCCAGGCTGGCCTTGAGTTGTCTCTGTAGCCCAGGCAGGCCTTGAACACAAGACTCTTCTACATCGGCCTTCCAGGTAGCTTGTGTTACAGGCTTGGGAACAGAGCACACACTCAAAGCTAAAGATGTCAGGCATGGTGGTACATATCTGTAAAATGAGCAACGGGAGGCTGAGGCAGAAGGATCAAGAGATCATGGGCTGCCTGTTTCAAAAACACCTTTTACAATCCTGTGTATTTTCTTTTTTTTAGATCGGGTCTCACATAGCTAAAGCCGTCCTTGAACTCTCTAGGT